ACACACACACACATATATATACATACACACACACACACACACACACACACACACACACACACACACACATATACATACATACATACACGTGTGTGTGAGACAGGTGTACAAGATCACAAACCCACCTGAGATAACGAGGGATCGGAGTTGCTCCTTTTCAGCCAGGCATTCTCACTGATGGGTTGGAAAGGCAACCCGCTCAACTCCTCTTCCCGTTCCTGATCAGTGTAACCATGACAGACATTCTCAAGTTCTTATTACAAATAATCTATGTGTGTAAATGATTTGTATCATCAGGCTACAGAATATATTTGCTCATCAGAGTACGAGAACATGAGAGCTAGAATGGTGTTGATCAAAGTATGCATTTTAGCAAAAGAAGGGCTCTAAACCAACCTGGCGAATGCGAGAAGCCTGCTTGGAGCTGGGCGCTGGGGTGCCGTGGAGTTTCTGCTGAATGGCAGACACAAAGTTGGAGCAGGTCCTCGGGGAGGCGCTGGCAGGGCTTGGTGTTGGAGTGGGACCAGCCTGGAAGACCGGCACTTTAAAACGCTCCATTCGCTGATTAAATTCTCCCTGACCTGGAAGGAAAACATTAATAGAGATTCAAACATAAATAGAAATGAAGAAATTTTTTTATCTAAAACAAATGGTAGAAATATTCTAAAGAAAATGTAATATAGAGTATCTGCCATTAACATGTTCCAATCTGATATATAGATCTACCTATATAACACAGCAGTATTGTGTGTGCGCTGCAAGTAGATTTGAGTTAGTAAAGCTAGTCCACTTTAATTGAGCTGCCCTTGACATATATATATATAAAAAAAAAAAACACTACTTTTCATATATTTTTCCCAGCACCACTGAGCTCTAAGCTGCATGACAACACTGAATGTCCTTTACTGGATGTGTCCCCGTTGCTCAAATATATCTGCTGGAAGTTTGGCAGATCCAACTCCTAGCATGGCTCCAATACTAACCTTTAGCATCCACAGTACTGTACAACATGAACATTTCAACAGGGGATCTAATAAAAAAAAAAAAATTTAAAAATGGTAACGGAAACTACACCTGCCAGGCATTGTTCAACATCACATTGATTCTCTTCAGAAATAAGTTAATGGGCTCACTGTAGAGTTCATTTGTGAATTTCTGTAGCACAATGCCAATGCTCTTGTGGAATATTACTACCGTTCTGTTTTGTTAAACAATTTGTATAATACAAATTATTTCTGGCAGAAAGATCAATAAAATATATTTATTACAATAAAAAAAGAATCTACATACATATTAAGGTATGTAGATTCTTAGTTTGAAATAGTTTGTATTATACAAATATGTTGAAAGCAACACACTAAAAAGCTAGCCAACAAGCTAACTTATGGGGAAAGGTACTTTAAAAATGTGAGGCGACAATTTGGGCTCAGTGCAAACTTAGGGATTAAAGTGAACAACTAATTATAAAATATATAAGTTACAATAAAGAATAGTTGGAAATGGATTAATTAAAACTACTCAATTAGCATTAGCATGCTCAATCAGGCTACATCCCCATTATAACAGCTAGCTAACAAAATCTAGGAGACGGTGTCAAGTTATAAACTGTGTACTTTGCTTGCTGTTTTAACATAAATATCATCAAAGTATATTGACATCATAGCAGCAACATTACAACTGTTTCTATGTCTTTATGTGTAGAATATGTAACAGAAGTTAATATTTAACAAAACTTTCCTTTGCATTACAGTGCAGTAGTGTGTGTGGGCTGCACGTATGATGGGAGGATGCACTGTGCACGCAGAGGGTTGTCATTTTCCTGGGATTCTGGTAAATGATCTGTACATGTGATGACGGATCATTTACCAGCGTCTTCTGAGTGCAGTGGAGGGTTAGAATTCAATGGGCATACTTTTTAACCAATACATGCCTTAAGACCTAGTGTTGCTTTTTTATGTGAATGCAAAAATGCCTTAATGCCTGAGCTTAGTCACAATCACGTTAGGCAAACGTTTGCCTTTCTGAACTTTTTATTAAGGACTTTGCAGCTAAATGTGGCAAATCCTTTAACGGACTGTGAACTCCCAGACTTGGCCCTTTAGCCACTGTCAGGTCTGAGATCACTCAGCCGACCCGTCAAAGGAGCCCGGAAATCGAATATAAAAAAAACTCCACAACGAGCCCAGAAACCGGATAATTTGAGTCTTTGCCTTTGATAGTTTATCATATTGTCTTTCATCCATCGTTATTTCAATGTCTGTTAAAAAAACTAAACAGAAAAGGAACACTGTATTCTATAAGACAGATTTTCATCCTCAGAGGTTTTTGAATGTGTGTGATCATATACATCCTCACCAAGGAGATACTCTCTGAAGCTCTTTTCATGGAAGATGACTGATGGGCTGTCAGCCCCAGGATCCGAGAGGCACCGCTGGGCCAGAGGAGCTCCCCCTAAAACAACAAACTACAATATTTATCTAACACACTGGATCCACACAGATTGTTAAGCACCTTGACAGTAGTTCTCATTTTGAATGCAGGAAATCCAGCTTGACTGTTGATCTTGGCTACCGTGGTATCTTGAGCAGTACCATAAACACAATAAACCCAAATACACTGCTATACTGTTGTAAGCCTGTCAATTATTAGCATGCCTGCTTCAACGGTGAAGGTTGGATTACCCTCTCGTCTCTGGGTGAGTTGCTGGACTCTGGACCGGACTGAAGGAACCATCGGCGTGTCCGGCTTTGTGTCTAGCTCAGCTAGGCGTCCAGAGGAGGATGCTTTAGGACTGCGGTTCTCCTGACCAGCTGCCTCCAGACGCCGCCGTTTCTGGCCATCATCCACCTCTGAGGCATCAGATAGACAGACTCACAAGGACAAAAGTCACAAATATACCTGCAAAGACTGCTGTGATTATGATAAAGATATGTCTATGAACCTGTATTTGGCAGGTGCTAATTTCATTCTCTGCTATTAGCCTATCAATGATTTTTAATACAGGCAGAATCAAACCTGATGGGGAGAAGACATTGTCTTCAGAATCTGACAAAGGTTCTCTCTGTCTTTTCAAGTTGATGTTGGCACCGTTTTCCTCGCCACCTTCCATGCTGAGCTGCAAACAGTGACGGTAATGACTGTATATTTTCAGATGTCAAACCTTTAAGCACAACAGCAATAAGATATGGTAGTTTATTTAGTATTTACTCCCCTCTCAAAACACCTTCTTACTATTAACCTTACTAGGTCATGCAAATAATTATGATCGGCTAACGTTAATATAACATAACTTAGGTAAATAAAACGCTTAAACGAACGTTGTCTTTGCCAGGAAAAAAGGGCTAACATTATTAAAGCTAGCTTTTAGACGTTTTTACACAGACAGGGGAAACACTAATGTGGGATAAAAACGCCGCAGGATTATCACAAATGAAAGTAAACGTGCCAACGCCCTGCGTTTTACTTTCAGCTCAGCTCATTTTCTAAATTAAACACACATTCGTAGCAAGTTGTGTTAACTAGTCAGCTGACGTTAAATAATGTTACATAACTCGTTAACACTGCCAACACTAAAAAAAACATGCGTTCGTTAAGTTTAATTAGTAAGCCTGCAACGTTTCTATCTTCAAACAGTGAACACCTGTAACTTGAAAACTAGTTAAAGGAGCTAACGTTAGCTTGCTAGCATTAGCAACATTGTACTATGAGTCAACTCAGGAAAGCTCATTTCAAGCTAATGTAGCTATCTAAAATTGCCAGCGTAACGTTAGCCTAGCTTAGAATGACAAGCTAACTTTAGCCGCTGTTTCATACATAATATATGCTGACCAGGTTGGATTTTGTCTTACCTGAAAATAAGTCTGGATGAAACTACAGTCTGCAAGAAACAGGTCAAATGACAGAAAACAAGAAACAACCTTCTTGTTGTTTTATGCTTTCAGTGAGTCTCCTCCTTCAACTTTGAATTTCAGCGGGGCTTCTGACGCTTATTGCATACAACTGGAGTACCGTAAATACACTCGAGGAGGCGGAGAGAGAGGCTCAAGGCTCGAAGAAATCGGAATCCACGCCTTTTCCTGCTGAAAAGCTCGGAGTGAGAGGGAGGGCGTTTTACCGTACTCTCTAAACTAAACACGCAAAACAAGATTCCACAACCAATATGATGATGTAGTGGAATCTACTGGTGTGGAGTGTGACATAAAGCTTTAACATACGTAATAACTAACAATAAGATGGTATATGTTGAATAAAATCTGTACATGAATGGTATTAATTACACTATTTCTATTATGTGTCAAAACCATAGATCATAAACACAGTAAATAGGCTGTTGAAGAGGTGGATTTTTGTAAACCTAAATTTATACTTAACCTTTCCTGAAAATGACTAATTGTGAGAATTAGCTAAACATTAAGATCCTACATTAAGCCTACAGATCTCCCTTGATAATTGATGGATGGAAGCTGCAAACAAATGGTCAAATGACACTAAACACTGACCTTGTGGGTCACCCATTTATCTCACAACTGAGACATGGATCGAGCATGGCAGGAGTCTCAAGCCACTTGAGACATGTTAAATAATGTTTTTATCAAACAAAACAATATCTATTTTTAATGACCGTGTCTAGACAAGGGAGGAAGTATGGGTTTAGGTCATTTCTATATTAATGTAAAATGCTACCACAGGGACTATCAGTTTTCCCTAAGTAAGTTCTGACACATCAGTAGCTCACAGTAACTGAAACACAATCAACACATGCTTCTCAAATGTATCTTTTCATAGGGAGTAATTATGTTATATATAAAGCTCAGTGCATTGCAATGACAGCCCATTAAAAGAGAGATGGAAATCAGTTACAGATGATGATTAAGAGGAAATTTATTTGGTTGCAAATGCATGCAACCAAATAAAGATGATCTAAATGGGTCACAGATGCACTGCTAAACCTGGGTTTGTGCACACCTCTGAAAACAGCTGATAAGATCTTGTGAGCATCATGCTGTCTCCATCACTTCTGTCTGCACCGCACAGATTTGCATAAAGGCGGAAACTGACTCATGATGTAGTTCACCCTGGAGGAGGCAGAAACCAGTATAATTTAGTGGTTGGTATTTTGTGTTTGTATTTATAACCCCACAACCCTCTGAATATTTATTTTTTTACAGCCAAAATGTTGAACTTTGACTTTTAATGCCCAAATAGTGTACATATGAATTACAGAGAAAATGAGACATTTTTGGTTTAAAGTGGCTTCAAGCCGATTTAATACATAGAAAATCCTTCTGATGAAAAAGTGAGCACTGTGGATAATGCAGAGTAGTAAGGATATTGTTTCTGGAGTTGGAATTCCCAGTGCTTATCTGCCACGTTATCAATGCAGCAGACTTAAACCAAAACTTTCTGTTTGGCTTGATTCTACTAATGGTAGGTAGAAAATATCCAGACTTGGACAGCTACTGTCTAGTACCGACCCTCCGCACAGTATGGTTAGTCCTCTCAGACTGTAACAAATCTACAGCACTTGTTGCTTTTCAAAACCCATGGGTGGATTATGACATATTGGGCCCCTGAAAGGTCCCCCCAAAGGAGCAAGACTCAAAGACTTTATAGTTGTTCAGCCTTTTTTTTGTCCCTTTTCATAGTCGTTGTGAGACTCTTTGTGTCTTATTTCAGCTGTTTTGCATCTCTAGCTAGTTGTTTTGGTCTCTTTTTGTCTTGTTGTCTAGTGTTTTTTGCCTGTGATTGTTTTGCCCTTTTATTGGAGTTGTTTTGTTTCTCTTTTTAGTTGTTTTGTGTTTTTCAAATTTATGAGCATGCATTTAAGAACTACACGGTGAGAAACTAAAGTCTTCAAATAGATTTTGACACAGGTATCATCTCACAGGGCTTCAAATTCAAGAGATAAATCAGGATCCACCTTAAAGCTATGGGTTGGTAATACTTTTTTTAAATTTTACAACCCGACAGCAATCCATAAATCAAATGGTCTGACAAAAATCCAGTATCTGCTGTTTTCGCAGGACTGTAATAAGCCTGTCCAATCATTTCATTTGGCCTGAATGTCATGTTGTCTTTATTTTACTGGAGTTAAATTCCCCTTAATTTTCCCCATCGACAATGAAAAGTAACTCACAGAACAAATCTGGTTCTTTATGAAAAGGTAGAAGGTATTATAAGCCTGTACAGTACATAAAAACGATGAGGAAGACGTTTACTGCGACTCCTAAGGTGCATTTCTGCAAGAAACATCCAATCACAGAGTTTACAATTCTGTGACTGAAAACACAATCTAACACTTAAATCCTTTCATTGGAAAATTCAGAGTAAATTTTGAGTGAATTCAGCAACTATGCGCCAACTTGTGTTCTCAAAGGACAAAGTGTTTTAAATTTGCTACCACTCTGATTTGCAACTCTGATCCAGCCTTCGGTGGAATATACAATTTACCAATGTCAAAAACTTTTTAAGTCATATAAATCAGTTTCAGCTACAGATTAAATGCATTTTTCTACCGTAAATAATACAGTATTAGTTTCAGTAAAAAAGATGAAATATACAAAGTTATAGAGCATTTTATGGAATCCATAAAACATATTGACCAGCAAATATTGTGCATGCCTGTTCATTCTGTGTGCATTTGGGTTGGTTGTTATGCCTGGCTGCCATCTGCTTTTGGAAATGTAAAGGATGGAATGTTAAAAGCTCATCTTATGAGTAAACTAAGAGAGTGGTTGCCAACAAATAGCCTACTATTTTTGAGAGAGGACAAAAAAGATAAGTCTTTTAAAATATTTTTACAAACTCCAGGTCAGGAACCACTAAACTAAGACACTGTCAATTAAACTTGAGTACGATCTAAATCGAAATAAAAAGTTTCTGTAATGATGACATTGAATGCCACGACAATCTTTCCACCAATTAAATATACACCAAGATGTAAAGATAAACACCGGGTTTCTGTTCTCTAAATGGGGGAAGTTGATTTTAATCTTTACAACAAATCTGTGGCCTGTCCCTTAGCTGTCACTTCCCTCCCCAAACTACGACAGCAGCCATTTGAGTGTCTCTTCGCAGTGGAAGTTCTGAGGAGGTGTCGGAGAATTCTTGCCCTGAAAGGCTGACGTCATACATTTTGGTTCCACAATGGACAGGATTTATATCGGACGCAATGCCAAGAGTCAATCACAGCAAAGGGAGAAGAAGAACATCATCATCATCATCTCTGACAGCATCATGAAGACTCTCTGCTTCACTCTGGGGCTGCTGCTGCTCACCGCCTGCTGCTGCAACGCCATGCGTGAGTGTTCAGTGATCGTGCCTATATCATCTTCAGAGTTTGCTCACACCCGTGTCTGTGTTGACTTTATCCGTTTCACCTTCCTCACAGCTAAAGCTCTGCAGTTCAACACAGCGCCTGGAAACTGCTGTTTCAATGTCTGCACGCGCAGTTTACCATTGAAGCGGGTCTCCAGCATAGCCAAGACCCACAGCTCCTGTCTGAAGCAGGCATTCATGTAAGTTTGTGACTGTTTCTTCCACTGTCTTTGTCCTGTAACTGATGAGATGATGAATAGAAAGATGGATAACCTACAGTATGACATCCAGACAGGCGTCATCACAAAGCCACAGCAATTACTCTTATAACACAAACTAAAGAAGGTGGACAAACTGAGTTTTCTCTTTATGTTTTGCAGAGTCCAGACTATCAAAGGAAGACAGATCTGCTACAGTGGAACTTTCCAGTGGGCTCTGGATGTCTACAATCAGCTGCACATTGACAACAGCATTCAGCAGCACTGAAGATGTATTATCATATAATACTGTGATCAATTAATGCCTGGTTTTGCAGGCCTATAAATACATAATTTTGTATTTTAATAAATGTCCTAACTATATTGCTGGCTATGTGTGTTTTCTGAGTACAGGTATAGGGTTAGAGAATGTGTCTCAGGTTTTCAAGCTAGGCCTGACTGCATCTACCACACAGTCCAAGTCCATTTACCATTTACTATTCTTTTCACCCAAATGAGTGTCCGAAATCTGAAACGTTTATGGTCAAGGGATGGTTAAGTTCAGTGGAGGAGAAAGTTGTCTTGCATGCAGGGCAGCCTATGTGGCACTGGAAGGGCATCCAAAAGGGCACTCCATCATGTTTTCTCTGCCTCACCTGTCATCATGAAAAGTAAAAAACAAATAATCAAATATGTACCTTACCTATGTGTGTGTAAAGAATACTGATATGAAAAATAACCAGTAGTCAATGTGCAAGCTGCCAATTGAATGGTGGTTTAAGCTACTCTATTGGGTTCATATATTTGTAAATCTGACACTGAAAGAGTCAGTGCCTCACCAGCCACGAACCTCACCGCACGTCACTGACTGGAAGGCACCGTAGAGGGCACTTTTTCATGTTGATGCTCTAAATTTTGAAATGAGCACCTCTAAAGCAAGCTTTTCTACTAGTTTTTTTCTCTAAACACTGGTCTGGTGTTCACACACAGCTCAGTGTTCATTCACGCTCTCGACAAGGGTCATTGCTGTGTTACCAATGTGATGTTCCTCACAGCCTATCATGTATCACTCACCACTTATCTTTAGTTTTGATTTAAGATTATTTTGACAGCATACTGTTTCCAAGGTCAAACAGGGGAACCGTCAAGAGAACGGTCTTTTGTACACATTACATTTCCTTATTAGGCGTATGAATATCATTGACTCATCCGAGTGAGTGACCAAATGTACTTCAAGGAGAGCTCAGTGTTTGCACTGCTGTGACAAATGTTTCAGCAAACTGGTTTATCCGCTCGACAGACTTTACTGTTCCATCACGGTTTTCTGCACTTTTACCGCATGGTTCAGTCTCCACATTCTCATTACATCCACCAAGGAGGTTATGCTTTTGGTTTGTCAGTTTGTCAGCAGGATTAGCTACCGGCCTGATTATCACGAAACTTTGTGGAAGGGCGTAACATGTGCCACGGAGGAATTCATTAAACTGAGAGATACACAAAGTATTTTTCACTTTTGTTAACATTGCCTGAAACAACTGTCCTCGGCTAATATCGTATTCTGCTACAGCAGACTGCATATTGTTTTTATAATATTATGGTAGTAGTGAAATACAGACATATGCATCCACCAACCAGTCAGCCATGTCTGTCCAAAATCTTATCCTCTTAGACATTTTTGTGAAATTTTTATAATAGCAAAGGGATTCTTGAGTTATGGCCAAAACTGGGTTTGTGTGAGATCACATGACCTTTGACCACCAACTTATAATCAGTTCAACATTTTTGCCAAATTTGAAGAAATTCCCATGGTGATCTTGAGATGGACGGACAGCAATAAACATAATGTCTCTCAGGCCATGGCTGTCAACAGGGCAAAGATTACATAAACAAATTACATAGAATACAACCTGCAACATAAAGCATAGTTCCCATTTACAGTGTAATTTTTTCTTTTTGATAATCGCGTATCAGTACCGATACATATTTACAAACGTGTGTGTTTTGATAAATCCCCATCCAGGAAGATTCTAAATGTTTGTCTCCATATTAAACGACTAATTTCACGAGAGTGTTAAAAAGAAACACGTTGGGACTTAAAGCATAACCATGTCAACTTTAATATTAATAATGTACAGTTAGAGAGAGAACAAAGAAGAGAAGCAGTAAACAGTGTCCACATAAAAAAAAAAAAAAAAAGGGAAATATTACAAAAACAAAAAAGTCCACCTAGACTTATGTCTATCTTTACTTGGTGTTATTGGAAGTGGTTCACAAGCATTTCAAAGAAAAATTCACTTATTTTGAACTTGATTTTCTCCGGACTTAAAAGAGAAAATATATAATAATGGAGCGGTCCTGAGAAAGTGTACTCATTGGCATAGATGTATACGCTATATGTGTGCGTGTATAAATGTATTGGAAATGTATTGGTGTATTTCTTAAGACAAGTTTTACATAATAGTTCTGAGTACAAGTTCTGTTGTTATTCCTGGTTTATAATATTGTGAAAGAAAGAAAGAGGGCACTGAGCAGCCTCCAGTATGTACACAATGTAAGCATTTCCATCATGAACAAAACCATACAGGTAATATCTGAAATGCTGCAGGTGTGACGTTCGTCCCTTTAGCATTTTGCTTTAAATGCATCATGAATTTTGCAGGCGATCTGAAAAACTATACTAAAATAACAGATTACTCTATGAGTCGCTTGAGAAAACTATAAGGGATTTCAGGAGCTGTTCTTCAACCTTACATATAGTGTTATTAATATCATCATTATCACATGAAAATAAAACATGGGAGCTCTTGGAAAGGTTTAAAGGTTCCAATGTGTTGCAGCACACTGCCTTCTGATTTTGAATTGACTTCTGTAAGAGAGGGGTAATGATTGGTTGCTTGAGGAAGCGGTTCTATCTAATATTTGATAAGTGAAGTCAGAGACGAAGCTATGGCAGAATTGGCAAACTTCTCCAAATTGTTGTCTTCCTGTGGAGTCCAGGGAGAGAGGAAGGGTCACAGGAATATTTCAGCTTTTTGATGAATTGTCCCTTTCACACAAAGGGAAATTTATCACAAAAAAGCTGGATATCAGGGTTCAGATCGAAGACATCCATCACTTAAATCACAATATAAAACATCTTTGTAATCACTGTGACCTGTAACGTGGTAGACACCGATGAAGCTTTTGCATAATGTCTTCTATTTAAATAGGAAAAAAACACACACACACACACACACACACACACACACACACACACACACACA